CTTTCTATTTCTGTTTCTTTCTGTGTCTCTCCATCTCTCTGTCTCAGTGTCTCTGTCTTTCCATATCTCTCTGTCTGTGTGTCTCAGTCTCTCTGTCTTTTCATCTCTGTGTCTCTGTCTCTCTCCGTTTCTGTGTATGTCTCTCTCCCCCTCACAACCCCCTCCCCCAGGAGGCCAAATTGGTTCCATCAACGGATGGCATAGTTGATCTTTATAGACTAGGCTGAGATTGTGGTGTGAATTATCACAAAAGCAAAGCAAAGACTTACCCTTGATTCCAGTAGCTTGGGCAATACAGTTTTCTCTGGATGCAGCATAGTATAACAGAGACTGACGCCGGCTTGAAGCCAGAGCCTTACAGAATCAGGCCATCTGCACATAGAGACGACAGTGTTCATCTCACACTGCTATTATGTGGTTTAGGGAAGCAAGACAGTGAAGGGCTTGGCATAAAATATCAATGCATTGCCTTAAACTTTCCAAATAATAGAAATGATGCCAGAAGCCAAGCAGTGTATCTCCTAACTTTTGATTGGCTGTATCCCCATGGGGAGTAGAGGCTCCTTTTGTATATTTAGATCTGTATCGCCACCATCTAAGAAATGTCTTTCACAAAACATAAGTTAATGTGAACAAAATGCATGAAATAAGAACTAGTTAGTACATAGCTAGATGGTGGCATGTTACACTTTCCCTCTGTAATAAGGTGTTCTTTACTGCCCCTAAACTTGAGAAGTTGCCGATGACTTACACATACCTTTGTATATTTGAGTTACTAGGTACTTATAGTTCTAAATCCAGGATTCAGGTTTTAAAAATATATGTGTTTCTTTCCAGACAGATTTTTGTTGTATAGTCCTGGCTGACTACTTACTGACTGTGTAGTCCAGGCTGTCCTTGAAGTCATGGCAATTCTCATGCTTCAGCATCCTAAGTGCTGAGTTCACAGCCATGTGCTACCTTGCCTAGCTAAAAGTATCTTGAGAATCAATTTTGTCATTACACAGGTAGTTCTTTTCTATAGCTTCATAAAGTTTTAGCTCCAAATGAATAGACATATTTCCCAAGAACTTATTATGAAAGCCCTAAGTAATCTTGGGACAATTTACCACCCAGTTCTAGCATGCCTTTGTGCTAACTGGCTCTGAGATAGGCATCTCACAGTTTTGATTTTGAAGACCTGGAAAAGGGAAAGAATCACCTTAATTCAGTTCAGCTGTCCTCCTTCATTAATTACTTGTGAGCTCAGAAAAGCAATCAGTCACCTAAAGACTCAGTTGTTTGACCACATTGACAATTCACTTCATTTATAGCAATTAACTTTATTTATTGCTTTTCTCCTTTTCTTTGGTGCTGGGAGTTGAACTTAGGGACTCACATATTTCAGGCAAGCTTCCCTGTCACTGAGCTCTACCCCCAGCTCTGCTAGTGTATTTCTTAATAGGCAGAACAATTAAATGTGCCACCAGCATTTATATGCTGACAGCTCTAGTGTCTCCTTTTCATTCCTACTCTTCTGGTGTAAGTTCCCATGTTTTATTGATTTCCTTTTTTTTTGTAAACAGAGTTCTCTTTGTTATGCAT